TACCCTAACGACGTTACCTTATTACTACTACTAGGTACGAACCTAACGACAAACCAAAACGAAGTATAGTCGTACCACTATAGTAGAGACTCTCTCTCTCTCTCTCTCTCTCTCTCTCTCTCTCTCTCTCTCGATCTCATGGTTATCAACTTAATTGTGATGATATTATCTCTCCAAAAGTAAAACTCCAATCTCCCTCTCAAATTGGCTTGATGCTCCTGTAAATGACAGAGAGAAAGAGAGAGAGAGAATCAATGGCCATTATAACATGAAGAGCATATATATATATATAGTCAGTGATTACACTTCTAGAAAACCATATTTAATAGATCTGTAAGACCCCAAATTTTGCACACATTCCTTTCATCCTAATAATCAATACTAAAAAAATAAAATTCAATTTTGCACTGTAGATATAGTAAAAAATGGGTGCCCTCCAACAATGAATCTCGACCATCTATTTGGTGAATTTCAAGATGTCAACCTTACAAATTCAAAATCAGTTTTTTCTTTTTTGATATTGTTAATCTAAAGATACTAATGCTATCTAAAAATTTTGGAAAGAAAAAAAATCTTTCTAAGACCTAGATCTAAGCATATTATTAAGACGGCCTATATTAGTTGGGCTAAAAAAACATTTTTTAGTGTGTGTTTTCAATTTTTTTTTTTTTTGTGAATGTTCATTAGATTGAAAACAATGTATATTTAAAAATTGGGGTTAAACAAAGTCGTTTAACATGGTTTTTGAAGGTTGTTGCATTACATTACTACACAACCGTTACATGAAATCACTGCTCTATATATATAATCCAATTTGATTTTTTAGAGCCTCGGCTCTATTTAAACTTTTCCCTATATATATATAAACACGTAGTCGAGAGCAATGTTAATAAACATGTAGTCGTGAATGAGGATTTCACAAGTATATAGAGTTAGAGGAGAAATCCCTTCTATTGCAAGTTATGTGGAAGTCAAGACTTCAAAAGAGTATTTTCCATCTTTAGTATAAATTCATCAGGGAAAGCAGATTGCTTAAACATGGTTCTCTCCCTCATGGTCTTGGTTAACCCAGTGCAACTAGAAATCATAGCTGCCCCAGCATGTAGAGAGAGAAGCATGGCTCCACAAAAGAAATCAAAACTAAAGCACAATCTATCATGAAAGAGAACTTATCATTATCATTTGAACCTTATATCAACTATTTAGGGTCGGCATCATGCGAGAGAACATAGCGTACCACTTAATCTTCTTTTAGGCTGGCCTGACCATTATCACTCCCCCCTGCAACCGATTGACTAATGCTAGCCTTTGCTTGTGATACAAATGTTGGATCCGGTTGGTGTGTGCTATTTGCAGGCTCTTTCAGTGCCATGAAGATGTAATACCCAATGATCAAATTCACTGATATGACAGCAAGAAACCCACTCAGTAATGTTTGAGAAGAAGGGGACAACTGATTTACACCTGGTAGACAGAAAATCATGATCACCATAAGAATCAATTTTTACCTTTTTTTCTTTAAGATACACAAACAGACATCTGTGTGTGTGTGTGTGTGTGTGCGCATGCGTGTGTGTGAGACTATGTATATGCAAGTGTCTTTATAGCAGAACTTTTGCAATGAATATTGCTTTGCCATCACAGAGTTGTGTACAGAATTTTGGCCTATTTGAGATTGGAAACAGAATAGTTCAGTGCATTTCATTTTCCGCCTGATTTTTTTAATGCAATGAAAGATATAACAAGGTACTCAAAGATGCTTGCAACTATTATTCAAGAACCAAGTCTTCGGCCATTCTGATCACGTTTGGTTGACTTGCAACTTCCTTGATGGCAGAGCTGAGTCGATGGATATGATTTCGGAGGTTAGTCTGAGACCTTGGATTAATACTTGGACGGTCTTGTCTGAAGACATGACATGCATCCCTTCCTTTTTCTCCCCTTCAATACAGAAGGAAAATCGAAACTTATTTAAAAAATTACAAAGAAGAGAGGGCACTCTGGGGGGCATTAAAAGCCTTGAAGTAGGTCAAACTTACCTCTATCCACACTTGTACAAGATAAATACTAAATCAGTATTGTTGTGTTTTGGTTTTAAGGATCTCTCCCAAGTCATTGATGAATAAGTAAGTAATGCAATTTGGTAAAAATTATAAAGCCTTAAGCGAGAGAGTCCCATAAATCATATCACAAGTCAAAATACGACTGAATCTCCTATAAAAAGAGAATTACGTTTCAAAAATGTAACGGGGAGGGGGGGGGGAAAAATTCAATGTAATGCAAAAGGATGAAATCCATGCACACAAGCGAGAGAGTCCCGTAAATCATCACAAGTCAAAACACGTCTGAATCTCCTATAAAAAGAGAATTACGTTTCAAAAATGTAATGGGAAAGGAAAAAAAAATTTCAATGTAATGCAAATGGAAGATGTCAATGAACAACTAAGTATCATTATCATTTCTATATATTGGGAAACAAGTTCAGGAATTCTACATTCTATACAAATAACTATGATCTGATCTCTATGGTGGCAAGTCCAAATCGTTTGTCATGTCTTTTTGACAGATCCAAATTATTTGTCACGTTACATGGAGATTGGAGTAGTTTTTAGAACCATTCTCCACTGAATTATAGTGTATTCTTTTAGTTGGAGTTTAGAATACCTTGCCTTTCGTTTTACAGATCACTAAGTTTGGAACTTATTTCCTATACTATATTCTTCAAAAGGCAAGTCTGCTCCATCACGTCAACTGTGATATTTCTCCACCCAAATTACGTACTTGTGGCCTTTCAACCAATAAAACATACCTCATAAAATTGTAACATTTTGGAAAAAAGAAAGATGTTTCATTCTTGAAGGCAACAATGAATGCTCAACAAGGCACAACATATCATAAAAAGTAAACTCACAAATACAAAAAAAAAGAGAAAGCTTAATGCAAATAATAATTCTTCAGGCAAATGATCAAAGCCATTAAAGAGTGAGGAAAGTATACTACAATATATAGTCCAATAAACTTTGAACAGCCAGAGTCCATTGGGCCATCGTTGTCCACTGGTGATGGAGAGAGATTGCAACCCACTGGAACAAAATAGTACCCAAATGATTAGTCCCCTCTCTCTCTATCATGACCATGTCAATGGACAACGATGATGCAAATGGTTTATCCATAGTGCAGTAGGTTATAGTATATTTTTCTATTAACAATACTTTTAAGTAACATTCACATCCAAATTCGAAGAGAGGATCTACCTCATATAACCTATAAACAAGCAAAATATCTTTTTGCTATATAGGACAGGCATGAACTTGGATGAAGTTTAACTAACCTGGAAGAATATGATGGTTACAACCATATAATATTGCCAATGGAGCAATCCACATTGCCATGGATGTAAGGAAAAACTTTATTATCACATCCAACATTTCTACAATCTGCACATCAATAATAAAAATTAGCTCAAGCACAACACCTGTTGCATGATGGATTCATGGCCAGTCGTCAAAGACACCTATTAAAAGGATTTCCCCACATTGGGTATTTTTTGTGTAAAGGTTAGATAAGTGGGGTGGGGGGGGTGGAGAGAGATGGGTGTATGGGTCCAAGGGGTTGAAAGAAGCCAGAGAGATTGAGAGAGCATTGGGCTTGTTATATCTTGTAGAGGGAAAAGGCTGCACTTGTCATCCAAAAAAAATTCAAGTCCGACTTGAACTCTTTTGGGTGGGTTTTTTTTTGCGTGGATGTGAAAGTTTTTTTATCTTTCATTCCAAAAAGCTTGTGGTTGTCCAAACTACGCAGAGTGCTTTTGGCAGGATTTTTAGATAACGATCCAAAAATCTTCTAGTTTTGGGTTGTTTCATACTAGCACTCAGTATCCCATAAGAACAACACTAATGGAATAGATAATTAACAGGCCTCCCATTGCGCGGTTCCTTCACACTGACTAAAGGATCAAACGGATGCCACTATGAGTAGCACATTATATTTGGACTGTGAGCGTGAGAATTGATCCTGAAGACTTTGCTGGAGAAATTGATCAAATCATTGGCCTTTACTAACCCAAAAGAAAGGAAACTCCCTTCATTTGACACAAAACTAGGTAGGTGGGGCCAGAGCCTTCTCGGATTAGAACTATGGTGGAAGATTTTGGGAAAATAATTGAAATAATGGTTAGTTCTCTTTCTTTGCTCTCCCCAAAAGATCAACGAAGGAAAAGGTGTCTAAAGTATGCGCCATTGCTCAAAGATGGGCGAGGCGGACATGAATGAAGTAGTTAAAGCAAGCACTTTTTGAGAAAGCCTATGACCCAATAAGAATAAGTACTCATGAATCCCTTAAGCAAATTTACAGTAAATATTCCACCAACTCTTATGCCACCTACACACAACATGAATATTTGGAAACAGGAAGCCCTATGCTGGAGACACTCCATAGTTTATGCCAATAATAGTTTACACATCAAACAATCCAGAGGAAATCTTGTTATGGTATCCTTGGCTTCTCTATTAGCAACACAAGTATATAAAAATGTGACATGAGTTACACTGGTGGTTTTGCCATAAAGAGTGTGATTGCACCTCTAACGTTACTGCATTATTACAAAAGCCATAAAACCAAGAGCTTTGTAATCTTATTACTGCAACAGCACCCATTATTTAAAAGGTGTGGTTTGTATAGAGCCGAGGCTCTAAACAATCAAATTTGAGCCCATCTTCAAATAGTGTCGAAAAATATAGTTTTAATGCCACAAAGTTTTGTGATAGCCTTAAATTATATTTTCATCGTTAGTTATAAAATTTAAAGCTTCAAAAATAGTGTAGATCGATCAGATCTATGAAAACTTGAAATCTTAAAAATTGACGGTCGAAAAATGCGTTGCAAGATGCCCTATTTCCATAACTTGAAATTCATTTTTTTCTTATTTCCATTGATCTTGATGTCGCGATGATCAATTTGATGATATTCGGGCATCAAAACAACCTATCTAATGAATGTTTTGAAGTAGGCTCTAATTTGATTGTTTAGAGCCTAGCCTCTATATAAACTTTTCCCTTATTTAAAACTTCGAAAATAGATGCATAAACAATGCTACTATTTTGTGGTGAGACCAACAGCCATTACCACTATTATTGAACCTTGCCTAACTCTGTCATATGATTGATGACCTTATAGAGAGGCTGACCTTCTAGAGAGGCCTTCTCTTTGCAATTGCATCACACCATGCCATGCCAAAAACCAGGTATGAATATATACTTGGGCAAATTTAGTGGTTGGAGGGGTTTCCTTGCAACCTTCATTTGGTAGATAGAAGACAATGATATTTTTCACATATAGAGCAATAAGAGTTGAAAGAGACAATAGCTAAGAAGCGAATAGCGAGGGAGGTGTGAGAGTGTATTCCAACAAAGCAGAAATAGGATAATTGATTTAATAATCTATAGACACACCTAAATCGGCCTATTGATTCTACAAGAAGAACAGTATTTGTTCCCTAAAATATTCTGGATAGACAAGATATTTTTTCTAGGAAAACTTCTTATCATCTCCTCCTTCTTTGTGTAATCTCCTCTGAATTTCTCATTTTACTTTGGCTCTCGGAAACTTCTTCTGCTCTCTTATCCACTTTATGGAATTGCTCCTTCTTCTAAATTAGTACAAGAGAGAGAGAGGTGGGTCTCTTCTTAACTCATGCTTCTGTTTTGGCAAGGTTGAGCAATAGAGGGGAGAGACCCATCTCTCTTTCTCTCTTCTTGATTGATCCATGCCTCTCTTCTTCAAGGAAAATACATGTGCGTAGACAACCAAAGTTCCTTTTGTACCTCACTCTCACTCAATCATGGCCAGCTAATTATATAAGACGAAGAACCAAGCAGAAGAGGTTTCCGATACCAAGGACTCTGTCATTTGAAAAGATGAAACCGAAGTAAATTGGAAAAGGATAGAAGGTTACACAAAGTAATAGAGAGACTACAGAAAGGATCTCAAGACCAAAAGCACTTATCTATCTTTGAGGATATTATGAAATAAATCTTATCCACACCTCCTGTAGAACCAATATGCCGATTTATATGTGCATGTAAATCATGAAATCAATTACTCTTCCTCTTTCTTACTTTGCTTGCATTGATTCTTGCACACCTCCTAACCATTCATTCCCTTGGCGATTATTTCCTCCAGTCTTACTCATCCTACAGATCAAAAGCGTTGTTTTATTTCTCTATCTAAATTTCAGAATGCAGGGAAAGCTCACTGACCAATACATTTACCCTAGCACATGATTCGGACCTAGCTTATAGGCATTGTCTGGTATGCCCACTTTACGGCTTAAAACTAGCATGTAGCGTCTATATTCTCAACACAAACAGGAAATGCATGATATGACATGGTGGTATTGTTTGCAAAACTGAAGGCAGGAGATCTTCCTACATTAAGGACTTAATATTTTGCAAAAGAATGAATCGATAATCCTATGTATGATGAAATAGGTGTTTTATGTTGTTAGGTTAAAGACCGAATTTTTTCAAAGTATCACCTTGCACTCCTAAATATTAAAAGTTTCCATTTTTATGTTACTAAAAGTCTCTAAAATTCAGTTGTTCTATGCCTCTTATCCCCATCCATATGGTGTGCAGCAAAGAATGTGGGATCATCGAGTCAAAATATTAGGAAGCAACATGCAATTTTTCATGTAGCTTAGCTTAAAATTTTTTTAGCATAATTCTAATTCTACAATTGCATATTTTTTGAATAGTTTCTCTAAATCATCAGCATGGAAAAACAAACTAATTTTACATCACTTTGATTACGTTGTTTACTTATGCTAAAAACACTAAAAAGAAAACAAGCTATCGAGTACTAAATCATAGAAATCCAGATACACATACAAATATGTCAAGTAAAAACTCTATTCATTTCATATTGAATTCCTGGAGCATGCAAAGAATAAAAGAAATGGTTACCCAAATATTTTGGTGCATAAAAACAATGAGAGGTAGGCTGCACAAGCATCAGACTAAAACAAATAGAATTAATTTTCATTAAGAACCAATAGCAAACAATTACGAATATGAACCCCCAAAAAAAAAAATACTATCAATTCTCACCAGAAGAATATAATATGAAATGATTAAATAACAAAGTTTTATTAATCTATGAACAAAAATTCAATAAAACATCATATTTTCTCAATAGTGAGATAAAATTTAGGATGCAATATTCTAAGAGAACATGGATAACAACTTTCAAAGAAAAACATGAACAAGGGAATGAAAAATGAGTTATATTCACTGCTCTTGAAAAATGAGCTTCAAACAAATCAAGGAGAGTAACTTGGCAAGCACTTGACAATCAACTTGAATGTGATGCATATTTTTTAAGTCCACATAGTCCATGTAATTGCATATAATCAAACATACTGAGAATAGAAGATTGAAGATTTCCTTTCATTCTTTCATCACAACAAAGAAAAATATCATTTCCTTCTTTTTGTGGAATTCACAACCGATAATATGAGCAGGTCACAAAATTTAGTAATAGTGCTTTGAACTGCATAATAATAACATGCATCAACCGAGTTTGCAGTTTGAACAAATAGATGATCCTATTAGGGTGAGAAAGCTATTAGGCCAAAGGCCTTTTGAATACAGGAGATCTATGCAATGAAGCATGAGGTAAGATGGTAAAACAGATAGGGAAGAAAAGTAACAATAACCAGGGGCACGACTTCTCATTTACAATAACCATTCCTTGACTACATTTACCAGGAATTTAAGCTCGCCCATGAATGTTAGCAGTGATTCGACATTTTTCTTTTTTGAAAACAACAGTGATTCAGCATCAATACGAGGGAGACTACAGTCCAATGGACTCTGGAGAACCATGGTCCATTACTGTCGAATGTATGACGAATGGTAACAGAGAAAAAGAGTCAATTCTTAAAATAAAAAAATAAAAAAAAGAGAGACAGAGAGTGGGACTAGGGATCAAAAAAATTGGGATGGGATGAAAATATTTGGACTAAAAAATTGGGACAAAAAAAAAATCTAGATGAAACAATGCTGTATATTGGGGATCTAAAAATTAGGATTGAAAATTTTGGGAGACAATGAAGGAATCGGGATGAAATTTAATAACAAGGCTTTATAAAAAATCTGAAAATGTAAATCAGGGTTCACAGAGTAAGGATAAATAGGGTTTCTGAAAATTTAGGGCTTCAAAGTTTCATACATTAGGGCTCTAAATTAGGGTTCACAGAGTAAGGATAAAAAAAATGTAAATCAGGGCTTCTAATGCATAAATCCGTCAGTGCTTTAGAGCCTTCCATACCTCTGTGCACTACTCTGTAGTTCCAAGTGAAGAACAGCTGAGAGAGAGAGATCCGATAGGGTTTCAGAGTGCTCACAAATCCGTCAATGCTTCTAAGCTGCTTCTGTGAGGCCTTCTGAGCCTCTGTGAGGGCCATAGAGTGATGCAAGTTTACCCTGGTTTTTTATTTTTAAATCTTTTTTACTAAATTACCCCTACTTCAGAATTTCAAGGTCCAATTTTTAAATTTATTATTGTGACTTATTTTGGACATTTGAAATCCTTTTGAACTTAAAAACCTTTCTTTTTCTTTTTTTTTAGTGTAGTTTGTATACGCTTACGCCCTAACGCACCTTCAAATAATATCGAAACATGTTGTTTTAACATCAGAAACCCATTCCTTCCATTTTTATTATACAATTTAAAAATTCAAAAATAGTACAAATCAAGCATTGTTGTTTCAACATCAGAAACCCATGCTTTCCATTTTTATTATACAATTTAAAAATTCAAAAATAGTACAAATCAAGCATATATATATATAGAAGAAAAAAAAAAAAAGGGATTAGCCAACAAGTTCATATGAACATATAAGTCCAACGGCTCAGATTGAATTTAGGCCGATCTGACGATCACAGATGTCCGGTAGTGCTTTAATTTTATTTATTTTTTCTGTAGATCCAAATCAGTTGAAATTTTAGGTATGTATTCTTTTCATCAAGGCGCACCTAATAAAAATATAAAAAACATTTTTAGCAACAAATAACCAAAATACCCCTGAAACATTTTAGGGGTATTTTGGTCAATTTATTTTATGTAAAATATTTTTTGATATTTTTTAAAGATTCACCTATTTTTGATAAACACACATCTAAAATTTCAAGTGATTTGAAATTGTAAAAAAAAAATTAAAATTCAAACACTATCGGACATCCGTGATCGTCAGATCGACCCAGATTCAATCTGGGACGTTGGACTCATATGTTCATATGAGCTAGTGGGCTAATATCATCTTTCCTATATATATATATATATATATATATATATATATATATATACGTACGACCANNNNATAAGAGACGTGAC